GCAGGTTCAAACCCAGCCTCGGCCAGATAAAACAATGACAACTGCAACAACAACAACAAAAATAGCTGGGTGTTGTAGCGGGTGCCTGTACTCCCAGCTACTTGGGAGGCTAAGGCAAGAGAATCACTTAAGCCCAAGAGTTTGAGGTTGCTGTGAGCTGTGACACCATAGCATTCTACTGAGAGTGACATAGTGAGACTCTGTCTCAAAAAAAAAAAAAAAGAGGTTATAATCCTAGATAATTATATATCTAATAACTAACCTTCAAAACACATGAACCAAATACTGATAGGACTGCCAAGAGAAACAGACAAATCCACAGTTCTAGCTATAGATTTCAATACCCTTCTCTTACTGATAGAACAGAAAATCAGGAAGGATATGGAAGATTTGAACAATACTAGAAAACCACCTGACCTAATTGACAATCATAGAACACTCAACCCAATAATAGCAGAAAATGCATTCATTTCCAGGGTACACAGAACATTTAATAAGATAAATATATTCTGAGCCATAACTCAAGTCTAAATAACTTGAAAAGAATCCAAGTCATACAAGTCATTGACTGCATTCTCTAAACACAATGAAATTAATGAGAAAACAGAAAATGTCTGGAAAATCCTATGAATATTTGTAAATTAAATGCAACACTTCTAAATTAACCATAAGTAAAAGAAAATTTTAAGATATTTTAAGCACAATGAAAACATAACAAATCAAAATATGTGGGATGCAGCTAAAGCAGCACTTAGAGGGAAATTTATAGCATAAAATACCTCTATTTGAAAAGAAATCTCAGATTTTTTTAAAAAATGGTAGAAAGCTTAAAGAACTAGAAAAAGAACTAATAAAACCAAAAGTAAACAGAAGAAAGGAATAATAAGAACCAGGGCAGAATTTTAAAAATAGAAAGGCAACAGAGAAAAATCAATTGAAACAAAAGCTGGTTCTTTTTTTTCTGGAGACGGGGACTTGCTATGTTGCCCAGGCTGGTCTCAAATTCCTGGCCTCAAGCAGTCCTCCTCTCTTGGTCTCCCAAAGTGCTAGGATTACAGGCATGAGCCACTACACCCTGTCAAAAGCTAGTTCTTTGATAGGATCCATGAAACAGATAAACTTTTAGTCAAACTGACCCAGAGAAAAAGAAGATCCAAATTACCAATATCTAAAATGAGAGGTGACCTCACTACAATTCTACACATATTAGAAGGAAAATAAGAAAATACTATGAACAAGTTTTGCCAATACAGGCACCCCCCAAGTTACAAACATCTGATTTATATACAACTTGCACTTACAAATGGAGGCTATTACAGGTAATAGGTAAATGTACCTATTACCTACAAATTCAACTTAAGAAAACAACACAGGCTTGGTGCCTGTAGCTCAGTGTTAGGGCACCAGCCACATACACTGGGGCTGGAGGGTTCGAACCCGGCCAGGCCCTGCTAAACAACAATGACAACTGAAACAGCAACAACAACAAAAAAAAAAA